TTGACATGCGGTGTGCTTCAATATTTATCACGCTGAGTTAAACTAGTGAAAATTCTAATTTAATCTTCTGTTGTTTTTTGCCGTTTAGAAGCAAATATAGCTTATAGACGATATCTAGTGTGTGGACTTTTGATAGTATTTATATCAATATTTATTTAGTTAAACTAATGAGAATTCTAATGTCCCAGTCTGGTTTTTAGCTCTTTAGAAGTGATTTTTTTCACAAGTGAATACTAGTGTCGCTTATAGACGACATCTAGTGTGTCGACTTTACTTTTTGTTTATCACCCTGAGTTATGCTGTTAAGAAGTCTAATTAAAAATTCTAGTTACTTTTTAGAAGTGAACGCTTGTGTCGCTTATAGAGGACATCTAATGTATCAACTTAACTAAATTATTTAAACTAATAAACATTCTATTGTCCTATTCTATAAAGTGAATAATACTAGTGTCACTTAAAAAAGACATTCAGTGTGCCGACTTTTTGTTCAATTTTTATTACTCCAAGGTAAACTAATGAGAATTCTAATTTACTATTTTGCTATTTAACTTTTTAGATATAGCGTATCTTATAGATGACATACAGTGTGTCGACTCTTGCTTCAATATTTATTACCATGAGTTAAAATATTGAATACTCTAATTTACTACTTTGATATTGAGATTTTCAGAAGTGCGACATTTTAGAAGGTAATACTATAGTACAACATTAGTAAAAATTTGATATTACTACTGCTTGACACCAAGCTGAACAAATAAGCTGATGCATGTTCTTGCTCTAACAATTAAAATTTACGAAAAAGTATCTGTGTGCAATTTTACATATATACTGTGAATTGTAAAGAAACTTTTGACAAAAAAACATATCTGTATCTCTGTGTCTATTGACAACCTTTTGCCTGAGTCCACATTTCAAACCAAGTACAACTTCTTCGTCTACAACCAACTGCCTTTCCCCAAAGTCCACATCTCTGATCCTTGCTCAAACAGGCAATTCAGTGCTACATTATTCCACATATTAATATTTCAATGCTCGACATCAACTATACAATAACTACATCCAAAGATCTGGTGCTGTGCACGTTCACCATATTTGTACTCCATCCATTCTCCACCGCTCATCGGTAAATAATGTAAAGGAATTCGTACATACGTATATCGACATACATACATCGACATATATACACACATACATACACACATACATACACATATACATACATACACCACTTACCTTACTTTACCTTACCAGAGTTATACATTCTCACCTTCCACTGGCTGGCTGGCTTTATCTCACTTTATCTCACCTTACCCCAAAGTCTTCGTCGTCGGCAGTGGTAGTATTGGTAGTATTAGTATTGGTAGTATTGGTAGTAGTAGTAGTAGTAAGAGGTACGCTGGCAAAAGGTTGCCTGTGTTCGTAGTATTATTGTAGATGAGAAAGATACGAAGGAACGGAGGAGTTTGCGCAGTCTGTTCAAGGCCAACGGTGTATAAACCTGGTGAGGAGGCTTTGGCGAGGGTTGGTGAGGATCGGGGGACGGGGCGAGGGTTGTTATCAGGGTTTGGAATCGATGTAACGTTACAAGTGGGAAAATGATTTTTTATAATATTTGAAAGTTTTGAATAAAATTGTTAAGGAAATTACACACAATGGTATAGAATCGACGACGAACTTGAAAAATTGTGTAGATTTTTTGAAGTCATATTTGCAAATTTAAATATTCTTGTCAAAGTTTTAGGTTTTTTAAAACTAATTTATCATGATTTCTTGGTACTTCTTGACAATTTTTAAAGTTTCCTAAAGTTCTTTAAATTTTCATATTTTTTGATATCTTCAGACGTTTTATATACACGTTATTTTGTTTACAAAAGTTTGGAATAAAATATAGAACAGAAACTGAAAATTTTAATAATAGAGACTCGACAAACTTGATAAATTGTGAAGATTTTTTGAAGACATACTTGCAATTTTAAGAATCCTTGTCATAGTTCCTAAGTTATTTGAGACTTTTTAATAATGTTTTTTGGAATTTCTCTGAATTTTTAGATCTTTTGCTATCTTCAGACGTTTTGTCATTATTTTGATCACAAAAGCTTTAAATAAAATATAGAGAATAGTTGCAAAAAATTCGATGGTATAAAATCTATGTACTTGAATAATTGTGTTGATTTGGAGTACACACTTGAAATTTTCAATATATTTATCAAAGTTGTAAACTTCTCAAGTTTTCTAAAACTTTTTAAGGCATTATTTATTGGAATTTTTGAGAACCTTTTAGAATTTCCTAAAGCTTCTGGAATTTTTAGATTTTTGCTATTAAGATTAGGATTTACCTTCAGAAATTTTACCCTTATTTTTATCATAAAAATTTGAGTTCATCTGCAATCTCTAGATTTTTGCAATATTTAACCTTTTGAACTCTTTAGACCCTTCGAAATTTTATACTTTTCAATTTTTTTGTATTTTTAGATATTTTAACAAATTTAAAAATTAAAAACTTTTAGCTAATTTTAAACTTTAGGTATTTTAAAACTTTTTATTATATATAAAAACTTTTTGGAACCTTGAAATTTTTATAAATTCAAGCCATTTTTGGGCATTTAGCCATTTTGGAGTTTATAGACTATTTCGACTTTTTAGAGTTCTTTTGAGTTTATGGACTTTTTAGACTTTTTTGAGTTTTTTGGGATTTTAGAGCTTTTGAGTTCTTAGACCTCTTTAGACTTTTAGACATTTTCAAGTTTTTAGACTTTTTCGAGTTTTCAGGCTTTTTCGAGTTTTCAGCATTTTTCGAGTGTTCACATTTTTTCGAGTTTTTAGACCTTTTTGAGTTTTCAGACTTCTTCAAGTTTTCATGAGACTTGATAAGATTTTAAAACTTTGAGTTTGGAGCTTTTTTGAAATTTATTGAGCTTTTTTTATTTTATTTTTTTACTTTTTAGACTTGCAAGAGTTAGATTTATGAACTTTTTGAAATCACATTTATTTTGAATTTCAAGAGTTTTTATTTAATAAGTCTCATGAAATTTTAGATTTTTGGGGTATTTAGATTCTTCAAATTCTTTTAAAGTTTTTTTGTCATTCTAAGTTTTTAGGCTTTTTATAAATTTTAGGCTTTTTGCAATTTGGAGTCTTTTTCGGAATTTTGCACATTTTTATATTTATAGAGTTTTTAGAATTCTTAAATTTAAATTTTGTAGACCTAGAAATAGGATTTGTAGATTTTTAGTAATTATTAGGCTTTTCCAGATATTTTGTCGTTTTTAGGCATTTTGTCATATTTAGACATTTTCCAATTTTTTAGACATTTTCCATTTTTTAGACATTTGCCAATTTTTTTAGACATTTTTTGATTTTTAGACATTTTCCAATGGTTTAGATATTTTCCAATGGTTTAGATATTTCCAATGGTTTAGACATTTACAATTATTTAGACATTTTCCAATTGCTTAGACATTTTCCAATTTTTTATACATTTTCCAATTTTTTAGACATTTTGTCATTATTAGATATTCTGTTATTTACAGATATTTTCTAAATTTTAGATATTTTTTCATTTATAGCCTATATAGATTTTTTTTCATATTTTTGATCTCATAAACTTTTTTTATTTTATTCGCATACTTTGAGATCTTTAGATTTCTGGAGTCCTCATTTTTTTGCAATTTATACATTTTTTACAACCTTGTTAAAATTTTTCTAACCTTTCTGGTTTTGAATAATTTTGTAGAATTTTTGCAATCTCTAATTTTTTCAGAATCTTTTAATTAAATTTTAACTTTTAGACTTTTTACTACTATTGGAACTTATTTTAATTATGTAAAATTTCTTGAAATTATTATTTTAGATATTTATTTTAATCCATTCTTAAAAAGTTGAAATATATAGGAATTTCAATCACTTTTGAAATCTTTGAGTATTTATTATTTAATTTTTTATACTTTTTGGAACTTGTCATTCTTGTACTTTCTTTTCATAAATCTTTTTATACTCTGAAAAAATGGGACTTCTTGGATTATGACCTCTAAATTTTTATTATAATTTATAAACTCCTTGGATATTTTAATATATTTTGTATATTTATGCTCAGTTTGAAATATATTAAAACTCTTAAACCTTTTGGAATTTTATTTTTGGATTTTGAAACTTGTTAGAATGCAAGAACTTTTATACTTGTTAAAATTCTAAACTTGTTAGAATTTTTAAATTATTACCATAGAATCCTTGGAAATATTAAAAACATTGGAAATTTCACACCCACTGAATTAGTTAGAATTTTTCAGAACCATTTAGATGTACATTCAGTATAAATAAATCACCTATATTATTTTCAGTAAAAAGAAAACCAAATAATAGAGAAGAGACTTGTAAAAAAATTATAATATAATAAAAAAGAGACTTCAACAAAAATTAAATTTTTCATAATATTTCGGTTACCATCATCACTCCACACCCTGTCCAAATTCGTTCTCAACCCTACCCAACCCAACACGAATTCGGGTGTCTAAACTATAGACGTGTACACACATACACACTTATACACTTGTACACACATAACCACACATATACACACATAACCACACTTACCCACACACCAATAAAGCACACTTTGTCGTTTAACCAACAACACTCTTAGCCGAGTTTCGACATATCCTATTCGACCCGGAGACTCAGATACAAACCGACCACGGACGGAGAAGGACGCTCCTAAATAGTAAATAGTAAATGACATATTGTTTATAATATTTTGTGTAAACGTTTGTAGTGAAGTGTTGGTGAATTTGGTGAATTTGTGACTTGTATTGAAGTGCGTGGATTTGACAAAAAAGTGTTGACAGTGCTGGACGCTGTGGACTAAGTGACAATCTATTACCATCTCGTGATTCTAGTGACTTGATTCTAGTGTGATGTGAACTTACCAACTTACCAACAACTACACCTTCCTTCATGCCCTAATCAAAACAAATAATTGCCAATTCATGTCCTAATCTTTCATCATGTACCATCTAACATCCATCTTAGTCTTCTCCTTGCTCTCGATTTCGACCAGAGTCGATGGGTCCCATCAGGATCCCTTAACTGTAACCACTACTTCCGGGTTGATCCGGGGTCGTGCAAGGATCGTCCTGGGACGTGAGGTACACGTGTTTACCGGTATACCATATGCCAAACCGCCGGTTGGTCCTTTGAGGTTTAGAAAACCGGTTCCTGCAGAACCTTGGCATGGGGTTCTGGATGCCACACATCCTCCTAATTGTTGCGTCCAGGAGAGATATGAATATTTTCAGGTGGGGGGTAAAGGATTTATTTGTTATGTGTTTTTTTTTGTTTTGATATTGCTAACTTTAGTGGTGACTGAAGTCGGTCTTGTAGTTGTTAGGTTTTAGTGATGTCAATTTGTTTTGATGATATTTTGATACATATGTTTTTTAACTTCCCGTAGGGTAAGTTATAGTAATCGCAAAAAAATCGAAAATGAAAATTTTTGCATTTCTCGAGTTTCAAA